GTCGGCGCCAGAAAGCTGCGGTCGGCCAGAAACCCGGTCGGCACGTCGACACCCGGAGAGCAGACCTCGAGAGACTCAGAGTGACGCCCTGAAGCGCAGCTCTCCCATTGACCTTTCAATGAAGGAAGAGCCCAGAACCGGAGAGTCCAACAACTGAGCCCTGCAGCTCCTTCCTAGCAAGCTCCTCTCTGCACTCCTCTTGGCACTCCTCTTGCAACTCCTCCTCCTGTCTGTAAAGTCCTCCCTGCTCCTCCTCCTGCAGTCCTCCTGCCAGCTCCTCCTCCTGCCTGCCTCGCTGCTCCTCCAGAAACAATCATTGCAGCTCCTCCGCTGCTTCTTAATCCTCTTCGGCCCTCCCCTTCATTGCAAGTCCCTCCCTGCTGGCTCCTCCTCTGCTGCAGCTCTCCTTGCAGATCCTCCTGCTGCTCCCCTCACTCTTGCAGCTCCTCCTCATGACAGATACCTCCTGCTGCTCACTTCCTCTTGGCAGCTCATCCTCCTTGCGTCCCTCCTGTCCTGCTACAACCATGAGTCAAGGTAAACACCACTTCCTGGACGTGTTGTTGTGTCCAACTCTCTGTGTGCTTGAATCCTGCATACAAATGAGTAGAATAAACAAATGAAACTACATTAAATTCATTATTTAATGATGGACTTTGTCACTCCCACCTCCAGCAGAGCTCTCCAACTTTGGCTTCAACACACTGGGAGGCTTCTCTTTTGCTGACTTGGCCCAAAACACAGAAGGATTTGCGTTTGGAGCTCAAGGTTGGCGTCCACATTGAGTCTTTTTAACAACCAGCTTCATTATCACAATAAAATGTATATTTCATTACAGTTTTACTGTCTTTCTCTTTCACAAAGACTCCAACTTTGCGTGGGCAAATGCTGGAGCAACGGTGTTTGGGTCCGCGGTGACCTCGGCTCCGAAGAACAACGGCAATGAGGAGGGCAGCGATGAAGAGGACGCTTCTAACAATGTGGACATTCACTTTGAGCCAATAGTGTCGCTGCCAGAGGTATCTTAAAATGCTGAACTCTTAATATTTGTGGTCCGTACGGTCAGTAGTTTGGTGATTCATCTTTTGTGTAACTGTGGCGTCTCTCAGGTGGAGACAAAGTCCGGAGAGGAGGACGAGGAAATCCTGTTCAAGGAGCGTGCCAAGCTCTACCGATGGGACCGAGACCTCGGCCAGTGGAAGGAGCGCGGCATCGGTGACCTCAAGATCCTCTTCCACCCAACCAAACATTTCTACCGAATCCTGATGAGAAGAGAGCAGGTGCTGAGGGTTTGTGCCAACCACACCATCTCTCAGGCGATGGAACTCAAACCCATGAACGCCTCAGCCAACGCGCTGATCTGGATCGCCACCGACTACTCAGGTACATCTATATGAAGGAACGAGGACTTAGAGGGACTTTGAGTGACTCTTTCCACCGTTGTTTCCCCTGAAATATCTCGTTTACAAGCCATAAAACTACAATAAGATGTTAAAATTACTCGTCTCCTTGTGAGTTCATTCCTGTGTATTTCTCTCAACCTCGATAACATGAAGTGCTGCCAGTTGTCACATGACTTTACGCCTCTTAGCTCTCCTATTTCTTGCTCATTTGACCGCATAGTCCAAATTCACACATCTCTTTTCATTAAACCAACGACAAACAAACAACCAGCTCTGACCGCGGCATCCTCGATCCTGTTGGAACAGAAGCAGGCTGTACTGTTGACATAATTAACATTTGTGTCTCCGTTCTCGTCTTTCCCTGTTTTCTCCAGACGGCGACGGCATAGTGGAGCAGCTGGCGGCCAAGTTCAAAACCCCCGAGATAGCCGAATCCTTCAAGAAGACCTTTTGCGCCTGTCAGAGCCGCATGGGCCAAACTGACGTCGACGCCTCGTTTATCTCCTCGCCGCAGATGTCCCGAGTTCAGGAGCACTCCAGAGACACTAACCCGCGGGTTTTCCTCAAAGTGGCAGCCGACGGCGAGACGCTCGGCACCATCACCATAGAGCTTTTCTACCACATTGTCCCCAAGACGGCGGAAAACTTCAGGGCTCTCTGCACCAATGAGAGAGGCTTCGGGTTTCGGGACTCCGTCTTCCACAGGGTCATACCGTCCTTCATGTGTCAGGTGAGGAGAATTACATTCCCCCTTCATGTGATCCATGAAGGAACATCTTATCTCATCTAACTAGTTCCCCCGTCGGTCTTTCAGGGTGGCGACATCACCAAAAGCGACGGCACGGGAGGCAAGTCCATCTACGGCAGCAAGTTCGAGGACGAGAACTTCGACGTTCGGCACACCGGCCCGGGCATTCTGTCGATGGCCAATCGCGGGCGGGACACCAACAACTCGCAGTTCTTCATCACCCTGAAGAAAGCCGAACACCTGGACTTCAAACACGTGGCTTTCGGCTGGGTTCGGGACGGCATGGACGTGGTGCAGCAGATGGAAGAGTTCGGCACAAAGACGGGGACGCCCACGAAGAAGCTGGTCGTCACAGACTGTGGACAGCTGTAGCTTCTTTCTTTTTAAATGTTAAGATCAAGATTTACAGCTTGGGTTAGGTTATAAAGTTAAAGACTTTGGATAATGATGTGTTTCCTGTGCAGTGCGTAACACTCCTGATTTAAAAACCATCGTCGCCGTGAGAATGAAACGCCGATCACAGGAACTACTGATGGAGACACGTCGTCGTAGAAACCTTGGGTCCAGTATCCTGAAGTTGTTTTTCTATCCTATAACGTAGTCCCAGAGTGGGGGAACGAGGTTTAATACGTGGGAGGAGGCAAAACATTTTGCTCTGTTGCACTTGCATCTTTATCATCGTCCGTCAATAAATTGTCCTCATGTTTATTTCGTGTGTATAATTGTACATGGACTACTTTTTTAAATGTCTATTTTTGGTGTTTTTTGTCTTGCATGTGCTCAATTTAAATTGTGCTGGTCCTCTTCACAAGCTCCACTCGGGTATTTTTTCCCCTTTTTGTTTTTGTTTTGAAGAAGTCTTAACTATAATTGAAAGGTGAGGTTGTTATTTGAATGCACTTGTTGGTTTATAACCCCTGCCTTCTCTCCAAATGCTGCCTCTGTGTACTTTGTACTGTAGGGCTCCCCCTCCCCACCACCACCCCCCCCAGTGATTTGTCTTTGTGTAAGTGGATTTCACAATGTGCAGATAATTGGACTTCATACACTTGAGTCGTCTCACTGTGTTGCCCTGTGGACGGAGGGGACGTTACATCTGGTTTGGATTTTACAAAAGCGATCCATTATAGTTTGAGATTATCACCAATGGTGCTTATTGTACCAAAATAATATGCTGATAAATGAGAAATAAAATGGCTTTACAAGTAGCTGGTGGTTGTTTTGAAAGGTTTTTCTTTTTAAATGTTTCATGTTTCACTTTTATAGAAACTCAGGCTGCATTCTCACCAAACGTACACGGTCGTTGTTGATTGGTTTTTACTCTACAGGTTTTGGTTACAGTGTAAGTATCTACTTGTAATGGTCTGGTCACAGGTTGTTTCTGCTGCGAGCCGCTCAACCACAACGATGTTTCTTTTTAACTTGTTTCATTTAAAGGATTTCTTTCAAGAGCCGGAGTTACAATCCACTTTGGTAGATTTTATAGGCTGATTTCAGTCTGTTTTAACCTCGATATATTTAAGAAATAAAATAAATGAAGAGTTGGTTAATTAACAAAGGTATTTAACGTCTGGCCCCAAATCTATGACTTGAAATAAAATCGGGACCTTTTCTTTTCTTCCTGATTTTTGAGAAAATGTATCTGTAAGATAAAGTAGTTTAAACCATGTTTCATCCTTAAGTTGGAGTCTGTCAGTATCATGAATGGATGAATGATGAAACGTTAGTATTTGTATTTTATCATATCTAATTACCACAGTCAGAATCAGCTGTATTGATCAAGTATGTGTTTGTTTAGAAGGAATTTGACTGGTTTTAAGTTAAAATCAGATTACTCTGTTGATCCCCTGAGGTTGTTACAGTTACTCCCTTTCTACAATAGAAATATATGTAAACAGAGAACTTATAAGAAAAATTGTAAAAAAAAAATACATAAATACTACAATATATAACAACGGTGTAAATAAAAATACTGAGAAATGTGATCTATAAGTGTAAAATAGTGTAAATAAGAATATTAGTTGGACAACAAATGTAATTAAAAGTAAACAAAGAACTATTATATACAAGTGAATTAAAAAATAGTTGCATATATACAAATATATATACATATGTGACCAACAACAACAGTGTGCAAACAAGTCATCTTCCTGTAAACTGTTTTAAACAAGTAAATATATAGAGGGTAGTCCTATAACTTACTGTAGAGATATTAACCGGACATAGTTTAATGAGCTGATGGAGTCAGTGTGAGGTTAAGAAATACTCCAGTCTGTAGGTCAGTCTTGATTATTCTGTGTCTACTGTTAATGTCATAATGATGATTCAGTGATTAGATAAGATAATATAGACTTTATTGATCCCACACTGGGGAACTTCACGCGTTACACAAGCTGAAGATACAACACAACAGATATGAAAATACACATTAAATAAATACAAGATATAATGGAAATAGAGTTGTATGTACACTATTATATATACAGCTTTTTATTTAATACCGACGGTCGATCATAACATCACTATGCACCCAGGAAGGTGACGTGCTATAAAAAATAAATAAATTGCCAGCCCAGACACGGCTATGAATAATACAGTACAGTCTGTCGTGTGTAGGAAACTTAATAGTAGAATATCGTGAGGCAAATGGAATAATGGACAACTATGGTTAAGAAATCACTACTGCCATATTTTTGGGTGAATTAAATATGCTTTAAAAAAAACTATTGGGGTATAAATTAAGAGTATATCCACTTCTTCAGGAACAACTACACCACTTTTTTTTTTAAATCGTGTATAACTTTTAAAGAGGTACTCCACCTTAAAACGTGTTTTTTAAGCTGTAAATTAAATTATATAACTATAATGTGATTAAAACTCACCAATTCTGCTGTTAAAACTGACATTACCAAATTTAAGTAAATAAATTAAAAACTAAAGTGCACAACGCACAAACCTTTCGCACTATTTCTGTTTCTTTTATTTTTATATTATTATTATATTTTTATTATTATATATATTTTATTATTATTTATTATATTTATATTGTTAAAACTGACATTATTACCAAATTTAAGTCAATACATTAAAAACTAAAGTGCACAACGCACAAACCTTTCGCACTATTTATATTT